GATCAGAGAGATTGAAAGATTCTACCCAGCTGGCTTTGAAGATAGAGGAGGGGCCCATGTAGAAGCAGGCAGCCTCTAGAAGCTGGAGAAAGCAAGGAAACGGATTCTCCCCTGGAGCCTCCAGAATATACGTGTGTTGTTTCAAGCCACCGTGTTCGGGGTAACTTGTTACAGCAGCAATAGGAATCTAATACAGTCCTGTAGTGCATACAGCTTTAACCCTCCTTATTATTTCTCAAGTGTATCCCCTCTAAGAAACTATAGGAAGTCTCAACAAGCACAAGGATTAGATCTTTTTCTTCTCTATCTCCACCAGAGTTCGGAACAGTGTCAAGTTCAGATCAAGTGCTCAATAATGTAATCTCCTAGTGTTTTTAAGTTTATCAAAAACTAACAGAGAGGACTAAAGGACAGGTTGGTGGGCTGGAGAGTAGCAAAGGGGTGTCTGAGACACCCATGGAGTGTCCCAAGCTGCAGGCAGGTCACTTCAGCAGATGGGGAGGCCAAGCACACGATGTGCCCAGGCCTGCCTCTAACCTGAAACAGGACCTTTACCTCCCTGTTTCTGGCTTCCAACCTGCTCTGCTATGTCACAAAGCAGCATGAGGATGGAATCTGCAACAAGGAAAGCATTTTGCATCCTGTGTGTATGTATTTTCTGGTCTTTTAAGTGTGGTTTTTTTTTTGTTGTCTGTTTTGTTTTGTCCTACCAGTAAAAGAAGGCTGTTAGGGTTAGAATGTGTCCCCCATATTGGAAGCTTACTCCTCAATGCGACAGTGTTGAGAGGTGGAACCCTTAGGAGGTGATTAGGTCATGTGGGTTCTGCCCTCATGAATGAATGAATGCTGTTATTGTGGGGGGGGCTTATAAAGGATGAGTTCAGCCCCCTTCCCTCTCTCTTGCCCATGTGATGCCTTCTACCATGTGATGACATAGCAAGAAGGCCCTCACCAGATGTCAGCACGTTCATCTTGGACTTCCCAGCCCCCAGAACTGTGAGAAAAAAATTTTTTTTCTTGATAAATTACCCAGTCTCAGGTATTGTGTTATAGCAGCACAAAATGAAATAAGACAAAGGCCTATATCATTTTCATCAGAAAAAGACCATTTTTATACCTCCAGATATAAATATAACACTTCATATATATGTCCTGCCTGTGGACCTAACGCTAACATAGAACTGTTCTCCTCGGAGGAGCCCTGCTCCTGGGAGGGGGCATGTAGCATGGTGGCTGAACTTGAATCCTAGCTCTTCCACTAACCAGCAACATGACCTTGAGCAGACCCTTGGACGTCTCTGCAGACCAGGGGTGACAAAGGCATCCACTTCATACAGTTGCCACAAGGATTTCCTTGCCCACAGGAAAAATAAGCCCTTCATGAGCATGGCTATGATCAGGAGGCTTCTGGAAATTCAACCACTGAGGGCAAGCACAGGCAGGCCCAGAAGATGGCGAAGACTCACAGCCCAGGCAAAGGCTGGAAATGAACTTTTGAGGGTTCAGGGAAGGCAGGGACCAGGTAAGGGGACACATAACCTATCCCCTTTAGGGACAGCTGCATTTTAGTATTCAGGATCTCTTTTAAACTTCAGGATCAAAAATAATAAAAACTCGTGGATAGCATTTCACCCCCATTTTGTTTTCCAGGCAGTGGGTACTAACACTGTCCCCTCTTCCCTCAGATGCTTTTCAAGACACTCTGTGCTATCGACTTCGAGCAGAATATCCCAGCCATGGAAGCCTGTGGTGCCCAGAGCTTTTAAAATAAGTTACTCCCGGCTTTCCTAGGAAAATATTAAGTCTGTCCAAAGATCAGGCAACTGAGCAGGAAGGTGGTGAATAACCTTTGCCTCTCCATTTTTCCATTACCAACCTTGTGCCTGTCATTTTTTCCCCTTCTCTAGTTTCAAAACGCACTCTTGTGAACACACCCCATATTTATCACTTGTCTCCATATATTTTTAGTTAATGTTTCATGAGAATATCTATTGTTGGATTTTGTTTTTCTGACTGCAGGTTTACTCTCACGCTTTTGAGTCTATGGGTAAAGAGAAAAATAAGAGATAAGGGATGTGACTGGCAGAGTTGAGCAAGCAAAAACTTGAGAAGTCCCATGGGCTGTTTTTCAAGTTCTGCTGACATTTGCAAAAAACATAAGTTCTGACTATACGCAGCCTTGGGCCTGTTCTAATGAGAGGTTGTCCCTTGAACAAGAGATCTGTAGCCTACAAGACTATTAACCAATACTGCTCTAAAAGTTTTTCTTAGAGATAATTGTTATATATACATACGCCATGTATGTTGTGTGTTATATATGTCTTGTAAGGAACATGTCATCTGTCATAGAATATACAGCTATTGAGATTATATATGGTTACTAAAATCATTTCTTCAATACAGATGCAAGAAATACAGTAACCATGTCACTGATTTTAGCTCACAAGTGGTAATCTGAGAGAACAGATGATTTAAGATGCTATTTCGACAAGTGGGAAGATTTGAATTATGGGCTATGATAATGGCATTGTGGTTATGTAGGAGAGCGTCATTGTCCTTAGGAGATAGATGGTGAGGTATTTAGGAGGGAAGCGTCTGGATGTCCACAAGTGACTCTCAAATGGCTCAGGGGTGGGGGAAAGCATTTGTCCAGAGAAAGAGACAGCAAATGTGGAAATGTCAGCAATTAGTGAATCTAGTCAAAAGATGAATTGGTGTTCATTGTACTGTTCTTGCCACTTTTCTGTAGATTTGAAATATTTTGAAAAGATGTTAAAAAAGAGTTCTTGTTATGATTATGCACAAAAGCCTACTTCCTCCCAGGAAAACAGAACCCATGTGTAAAAACACTGGAAATTTTTTAAAATCTTGATTAAAATGCATTGCTAAAATCAGAATATTTTTGCACGAAATCATACAACTAAAAATAAAATGCTTGTCTTTACTCCAACCATGGAGTTGATATATATTCTATATTGGTGCATACCAAAGTCAAGTAATCTATAATAAAAAAAGAAGAATATATATAAGACAATGAAGACACATAAAATGATAAATGCTTAGGATTAGTGGGAAGCTTTTAAGGAATTCTATAAGATTTCACATTTGTTCTCCAATGTAAATAAGGCTCTAGAATTTACAGTTGAAAAGCATCAGGGAGAAATATGGTCCAACAGTTCAATTCTCAGATTGTAGGTGATATAATGCAGGGTCAGAGAAAATTCTACAAGTGTGGAAGTGTACAAGTGTTTAAAAGCTGTTAAGTGCTTTTAAAATCGATCTGGAACCCCTTCCTGTGAGTTATAATCAGCATTAGATCAATGTCCCCTGGAAATGTCCAGCTTATTTCATGGAACTCTTTCCAGTAGAAATCAATTTAGTCTCTAAGTTTAAATCATGGCAGTTCCAAAAATTTTGAAGTATTTCCAATTGAATAAGAGTAAAGTCCAGTGTTTTCACAAGTTTTTCGAATGATTAACAAAATATATTTGGTAAGAAAAAGGATAATGAGAGATAAAAAGCAGACATGAGAACAACAAATTATGAAAAAGTTGAAAAATGACCACATTACTCAGTTATCTTGCTTTGCCAAATAAAACCACAAATTATCGTGTATCTTCTTCCCACTTCTTCAACCTGCTTCTGAAGTGATACTTCCATTCACTAATGTATTCAAATATTTAAGTGCCTAATATGTACAAGATGTGAGAAGGACTTCAATAGCCATATTGCAATTTTTTTAAACTATGCAATATTGTCCTTTTGTGACAGTATTGTTTTCTGGATATGAAGAAAGTTATTTTTTCAAGCCTAAATACACAACTAAATTGAAAATAATCCTCCATATCTAAGCTTTATGAAATGTGAACTGTGAGCAAATACCATAATTCGACATCAGAGGGAAAATATAATCTAAGCGGAAAAAAAATCCAAGCTTACTCTTGGGACTCTGAACCATTAAGCAACTGTTGAGGTGGCCCTTTATTGCATCTTGCCCTTAATTATGAGGTTCGTGCAGTCTTAAGCTTAGGTTTCAAAAACCATTAATAATTACCCTTAAATGGCAAACAAAAGGAAAATGTCATAATCAGGGTGGTGTGTCTGTAAAGATTATAAAAGTCTCATGCTCCTGCTCAGCTCTTTCACTATTTGATCCTTCTAGCTGCTTCACTGCCGGGCCACCAGGTCAGTGTGATTTTAGTACTACCTAGCTCCTTCTGCTTGAATTAACATAACACTCTGCTTCCTTTCAGAATAGTGTGAAAGAAAATGGTCTGGAAAAAAGTTAGGCTTATGCTGTCTAAAGGTATTAGCTGTCAGTTAGAAGCTAGAAGCTGTGGTCAGGTATTCTTCAACACCACAGCTAAGGCCGGACACGGTGGCTCACGCCTGTAATCCTAACGCTCTGAGGCTGAGGCGGGAGGACCACTTGAGCTCAGGAGTTCAAGACCAGCCTGAGCAAGAGCAAGACCTCATCTCTACTAAAGATAGAAAAAATTAGCAGGGCATGGTGGCGTGTGCCTGTAGTCCCAGGTACGCAGGAGGCTGAGGCAGGAGGATCACTTGAGCCCAATAGTTTGAGGCTGCAGTGAGCTATGCTGACGCCCCAGTACTCTAGCCGGGCAGACAGAGTGAGACTCTGTCTCCACAAAAAATAAATAAATAAATAAAAGACCGCAGCCTACAGAGTGCAGAGAGTGCAGACCAGGTACATAAAAAGTGAAGGTCAGGTCATTAATGACTAATAAAAATGTATGCTGCAGGGACTATCCCCTAACAGATTACTCCAAGAACAGGCATTTAACATACTAAGATGATTTATTTTACTGGCGCCACTCCCACTCTGAGACTCTTTTCTCTTCCCCTCTCTTTTCCTTGCTCTCCCACATCTATGCCAAGGAAATGGCCCAATAAGCCTAAAATCCCCCTGACAACTCTCAGCATGAAACTCCACTTCCGCTTCTTGGTAAGTTTATTTTCTTTCCAATTTACAGGACCCCAGAATGAGTACTAAAAAGTCCCCCGAAGAACTGAAGAGCGTGTTTGAAAAATATGCAGCCAAAGAAGGTGATCCCAACCAGCTGTCAAAGGCCGAGCTGAAGCTCTTGATTCAGGCCGAATTCCCCAGCGTACTCAAAGTGAGTGCACCCCTGCAGAGCGCGCTCAGCCAGACCTCTTGGTGGGAGGGGAGGGAGGAGAGGGCAGAGGCTCAGGGAGGGAATGGCTCCATGGGCGACATTGCTTGAGAGAGGACTCCTGAAGGAGGACTTTCTTCCCCTCAAGTCAGGCCACCTTTCCGAAGGCAAGCTCCCCGAAAGCAAGGGCCAGGCCTTCTAGCCGGCCCACAGCCTTGGCACCTCCCGGACTGGCCACAGTAAATGGAAGCGCTGCCAAGCTATGCCTGGAAGACGCGCAAGTTACCATGCAAACCCACTAAAGCCCTTCAGCCTGGATTCAGTACCTCTGTGCCAGGCTTTAGGAAAACAAAGAGCACTGCCCAATAATGTTAGCTGGCCTTGGACGTACTTCATTTTTATATGTAAAACTCCCTCAACAGGCCGGATGCGGTGGCTCACGCCTGTAATCCTAGCACTCTGGGAGGCCGAGGCGGGCGGATCATTTGAGCTCAGGAGTTCGAGACCAGCCTGAGCAAGAGAGACCCCGTCTCTACTAAAAACAGAAAAAAAGCCAAGCGTGGTGCCACGGCACTCTGGCCCAGGCAAGAGAGTGAGACTCTGTCTCAAAAAAATAAAATAAAATAAAAAAATAAAAAATCCCTCAACAAGACCAACACTTAACTGGGGCTCAGCGGATGGAAAATCACTAAGAGCAAACATCAGGAATAAGGGGTTTCTGGCTAAACTGCCTTGATGGGATTCTTGCTGAAGGCAGGCCAGGGTGATAAAATATAGAGAGAGGGTGGTCAGATACCAGGGGTGGAGGATTTGTGCTAAATTGACGTAGCAGGATTCCTGCTCAAACTGGATTCTACAAGGACAAAGAGAGAAGCCCAAGGTTGGGCCTAGTTAAGCAGGGGGCTGCCCACAGGAGCCTGACTAAAGTTTTGGTCAGAGGAGAAGAGTCTTTGTCACTTTGCAACTAAAAACCATCTTCACAGTGGAAGCAACTGAAACTGTCACATCTGACTAAGTCACTGTTTAGCTCTAATTTCAGAAGAAGAAAGTATTTGCTTTAAGTATCCCTGCTTTCCAGATTTTGACCAGAAATATCCTTTCTGCCACAATGGCAGGTGAGACTTCTGTTTTTAATACTAGAAAGAAAAAAATCTGAATTTAATGACCTTATAATCTGATTATTTCCTCATTTTTTATAGTTGATATATAAAAGAACTTTTAAAAACAGTTAAAGGCACTAGCAGAAAAAGGTACTTTTTAATTAAAAAGAAAAACAAAAGTTTAAGAAATTTTAAATTCTTAAAAAAACCCTTAAATTTTCCAAAAGGAAGAAAAATAATAATCTAAGGAAAACCTAGGAAATCTATTCAAACAAGCTGTTTTAAAAGGTAAGATTTGGTAAACTTTTATATATTTTATGTATTTCCTACAAAAAGCACATAACTTTATAATTTGGAAAAAAGTAGGGAGATTAGCAGTAAGTTTTGAAAGTATACTTAAAAAGTCAGGTGACTAATGGTAGTTCCACAAGAATTACTAAGATTTTCCAGCTATGCTCTGTTTATATATCATCATCATTGCCTTGTATGGTCTAAAATCTAGTAAATGCGTCAAGAAAACAGCGCTTCATATTTATAAAACAGATGCTGAATAACTAACTTACAGTTTGGTCTCGTGATCATAGCAAAGTGTCAAGTGTCTCTGTAGGAATCTTAGGGTTTAAAATACATCTTGTCATAGAGATCTGTTGTACAACAATATGAATATACTTAGCACTACTGAACTGTACACTTAAAACTCATTAAGATGGTAAATTTAATGTTATGTGTTTTTTTACCACAATTTATACACGTATAAATATACAATCCAATTTGAAGCTGACATGAATTAAACAGTTATTTCAATAGGTTTCCTAAGTACTATTTTGCTGCAGGTAGACTCTTATCTGAAAGTCCAAGTGGTAATGGCTTTAAGATTTGAGTTTTATGGCAGAGAAAAAAATTCAGTATGCTTAAGACACAACAGAAATATCAGTAGTCAAAAACGCTGAAACATGATCTCATGCAATGTCTCAAGGAGTGGTTCTCCAAGCATGGTCCTAGACCAGCAGCAATGGCACCACCTGGGAACCTGTTAAAAACACAGATTCTCAGGTCCCACCCCAGACCCAGTGAATCAGAAACTCTGTAGGTGTAGCCAGCAATCTGTATTTACTAAAGTCAAGAAGCCCATCTGGTGATTCTAATGCATGCTAAAGTGTGGTGGGAGCCACTGATCCAAAGTCATTTTGCATAGACTGGGATTTGGGAAAAACTGGTTTGGTGGCTAGTTAAGAGGTTTGGCTCTGGAGCCAATGTTTGGACCCCAAGCCCTCTACTAACCAGCTGTGGGACCTGGAGCAAGTCACTGGCTATCTCTGAGCCTCGGTTTCCTCACCTGCGAAGGAGATCTCCCCCCACAGGGTGGCTGGAAGGATCACAGAGCCTGCCTAAAGGCCTTGGCACAGTGTTGGCCAGCAGAGAGCCCTCACTGTCTGCGGCCTCGAGTAATATTCTGGCCCCAGACCTGGAGCCAGAGATAAAACCAACTCCCAGGAAAACCTTGGGGCAGGGATCCTCACCTGAGAGCCCACAGACCCCCTCTCGGAAGAATGTTTCTAGAGGCATAAAGAAAAAGACATAAGAAACCAATTATACGTTATATTAAAATAATAAGCGTGTGATATAGGAAAAAAACAAGGTAGCCAGTTCTGTGACATGAAGCAATAGTACAGCTGAAGCTGAAGCTGGTTTGTCCCCCTCTAATTGCAGAGACTGGATAGCAGTAGCTGATTCATTTTTTCTCCCCTCCACTATCCCATCGTTTTTGTCTAAAACCAGGGTCCGAAAACCCTAGATGACCTATTTCAAGAAGTGGACAAGAATGGAGATGGAGAAGTTAGTTTTGAAGAATTCCAACTGTTTGTGAAGAAGATGTGCCAGTGAAGGAAAAAACGAAACAGTATTCCTACGCACCGAAGGAAGCGCGGCTGGGCCGGGCCCTAGCCTGTGTGACATCCCCAATGTCTCCGGTTTAATTCTTTGCGATTATAATGATCTGGCTGTGAGGTCCAATTACTGCTAATAAAGGAATTCTTAGACATGCCTCACCTTGTCAAGTGCTGACCTTCATAACTTAACAGATGTGAAAGTAACCTTACTGCGATTCATCTAATTCTACAGATTTAAAAAAACGAAAAAAAGGAGGGCCAAGGCCGGGCCCAGTGCCTCTCACACCTATAATCCTAGCACTCTGGGAGGCCGAGGCGGGAGGACTGCTTGAGGTGAGGAGTTCAAGACCAGCCTGAGCAAGAGAGACCCCGTCTCTACTAAAAACAGAAAAAAAGCCAAGCGTGGTGGGTGGGCGTCTGCAGTGCAAGCTATTCAGGAGGCTGAGGCGGGAAGATCACTTGAGCCAGGAGTTGGAGGTTGCAGTGAGCTATCATCACACCACTGCACTCCAGCCTGGGTGACAGAGTGAGATCCTGTCTCAAAACAAAGATGACAGAAAGACCCAGGGCCCTCCCAACTCTGGCATCCTGAGCTACAGGCTCTCGGGCTCCGAGAAAAGAGCCCTCAAGTTCCATTGCTGAGTCCAGCTGGCGGGTGAGGAGGGTGGGGAGTGTGGAAGAGGGAGCACAGAGGAGGGAGGGTAACTTTCTTCTACCCCTTACCAGACAGAGTTGAAGTTCAAGATGGTCCAAGTTACCAATGGCTCCAGCCAGCCTAGACAGCCAGCCACAGAAATGCCTGGCAGCTGGGTCTTTGTTTCCCCTTTATCCTCACTGCAACTCTCCTCCCCTCCAAAATGCCCACACACTAGCAGTACTGGGTCCCACTGCCATTAACATTCTCTCTCAACCGGTTTATTTTTTTATCATTATCACCCTCCTAAGGAGCCTTGTTAAATGTTTTTTTTCTAATTGCCCCTCTCAATGAAATTTTAATTGCATAGATATACCGTGTGCATCTGTTTATTTACTATTTGTGTATCTG